TTTTAGTTGTAGATCGGGGAGGGGGTAGGTGAGGTTTCCCTTTCCCTTGGTCATCAGTATTTGAAGATCTGATATTGGTTTCCCATACTGCACATTTGTTTACCAAAAATTTAAAAAAATCATCCATCGTAGCAAATTTATCGACCGAACCTTGTTTTTGCCACTCCTTCCTGGTAATAGGATCCAATTTCGATTCAAGCAAATAAATTAGTATTGGATCCCAGTGTTCTACGCCTAAACCCAAAGTTTTGAGTGCCCTTAAATCCTTACGCAGCTCATCTAACATTTTCCTTAACCCGGAATGAGACTCCTTTGTAAGACCCGGTACATTGCAAATAGAGTCAATATGACTAAGAGCGATTAACTTTTTATTTTCAAACCTTTCCTTTAAAAGATCCCATGCAACCTGATAATTTTCTGAAGACACCTCCAAAGAATGGATCACATCAGCCGCCGTACCCTTAAGCGCCCCTTTTAGATAATAAAATTTTTGAATATTAGTTAAAGACAAATTCGAATCTACTAAGGACTTAAAAGAATCGTGAAATTCCAACCACTGCTTGTATGAACCATAAAAGTTAGGTACTTCCATTGGTGGAAGACGTACTTCCGTTCTTGGAGCAGTTGAGTCCTGTGTACTCCCACCGTGCGCAAGTAAATTTAGGCGACCAAGAATGTCAAAATACTTTGTACCAAAATCATCGCGTTCAGCCACTTGCTCATCCGAATCATCCAGGTCCTCGATTTCGTCCTGGATGCTTTCAAATTCATCCCACCACGCCTCCGCTCTTTTAAGACGTATCGAAATCTCATGATGCTTAGAGGAGTCATAATTCTGAATAAAAGTTTCTAACCGTGTAAGCTGCCCTTTAATATTTCCCCTTTTTCGAGTCAATTTAGCTAGATCAGTCATCTTGACCCTTTACCTTAACCTTTACCTTAAAACCTTAACCTTTACCTTAAAAACCCTTATGAATGTTTACCTTACCCTTAAATTATCCTTAAATCTGACACAGATTCTTAACCCAAGTGCGCTGTCTTTACAAACCGTCCCTTACAAATATAAAACACAAATCAATTTAATAACTTACAAAAAATAATAAAAGAAATGGTACGTAAATTTGGAAAAACTGGACTTATAAATAACAAAATCTATTTAGAATTTAACCTTTTGTCCACCTTAATAACAAAAAATACAAACAATAATTAATTTAATGCACAAAATAATAATAAAATGCACAATAAAACAATTATGTGTACCAAATACATCAAAAGTAAATACTTATTTGTCAACTAAATCAACCATAAATATCTGTTTTTCGAATAAATCAAGCAAAAAATATTTATTTTGTCAAATAAGCCAAACGAAAAATATTTATTTTGACAAATATAAATCAAAGCAAAAATATATAAAATTAAAATTGCTCACCCTGTTGCGCACTGCACCTACCTCGGTCAGTATCCAATCTGTGTAGATAACCTTCAAATTTTCTTAAATGTCCTTAAACCTTAAATTTCCTTAAACCATATAAATGTCCCTTGACCTTCCTTAAATTCCCTTAACCTTCCTTAAATGAGTATTAGCCTGGTAGTCCTTAAAGTCACTGTATTATTTGTATTTCCTTGATGCACTGACCTGTTCCTTTTCTTCGATAAATGTAGCCTTGTAGCCGTATCCTTTCCTTAATTGGACTTTTCCAATTATCCGACTCGAAGGACCAAAAATGGAGCGTCTTTTTCAATGTTGTTTACCTTTTATATACAGCTACAGCCAATAAATCGAGTGTCTTTGTCAATATGGTCTTTATTTCTAATTTACTGAATAACACGTCAACAGAAACATGGTAGTGCGATGCACTCCCCCTTAAACACCAGGCAATACTAAGTTTTTGTAAGCTTTTCGGCTGCGCTGTGGGCCTATGTGACTTCTGCCTTCTGCCAGCGACGCGCTCCCCGCCGGCGGCGATCAAGGTCCTGCGCTAAGGCCTTGTACGCATCGTACGTCGTACGGCTTTCAAAAACCCAACAACTACCTTATATTGTTAACTAAATTGAAAATACCTTTAATTACCTTTAAAAATGTACAGGGCGATTGATAGTGATATTTATTAATGCTGGAAGGTTAGTAATGAAATATAAGTTTAATAATAAGGGAAATAATTTATTAAAATGCAGTACAAAAAATGTTAATACTGTGGTAATGACTAAAAAATTACTATAATAACAAATTTCTTCTGTTTGTCACGTTATTTATAGTATAGACCTAGGTAGATTTTAAAAAGTGACACAGGTACAATTAATAATATCATACTCGGCATAAAAGTTGCTGTCACGACATCGTACAATAAATTAAAATTCATAAAATAAATTAAAATTATTAATTAAACAAATCTTTATAAAGAAACGCAAGTATACCAAATTTGGGCCCAATCGCAATCCAGGAAATGATATCATAATATTGTACTATATTATGGTACCACTCGATATGCTTGAAGGTACCATAATATTGCAGTGTCACTGAAGATCCGTAGTATACCAAGTTTAAGCCCAATCGAACGCTAGGAAATGGCATCGTAATATGGTACTACATTATGGTACTTCTTATTGATATGCTTCATGGTACCATAATATTGCAATGTCATCAAAAATACGCAAGTATATATATATATATCAAATATGAGCCCTATCGAACATCAGGAAGTGGTAACAATATGGTACTATAGAAGGTACCACTTTATATGCTCCATGGTACCATAAAATTACAATGTCACCGAAGATACGTTGTATACCAAATTTAAGCCCTATCGACCGCCATGTATTTAATATGGTGCTATATTTGGTATGGTACCACTTGATATGCTTCATGGCTTCATGGTACCATAATATTGCAATGTCATCAAAATTAAGCAAGTATATATCAAATATGAGCAACCAGACCAAACCAAACCAATCGAACGTCAGAAAGTGATATCATAATATGGTACTATAGAAGGTACCAATTTATATGCCCCATGGTACCGTAACATTACAATGTTACTAAAGATAATTAGAATACCAAGTTTAAGCTCAATCGAACGCCGTGTATCGTAATATGGTACTATATTATGGTGTACTATTTCCCATAAAAATTTACATATAAAATGACAGCGATCTTCATTTTTTTTTCATTTTTTCTAACGCCGTTTTTTCCCGATCATACGCTATAAAGTATGAACACAATTGAACGTCAGGAAGTGGTATTATAATAGTAGAACAATATTTATTATATTGTCGCCGGATTACAATTAAAATTCAGGATTCAATTACAATCAAATGTCAGGAACTGATTGTAATTCAGCTCGTAAGATTTAACTCCATCTAACATGGCACGTTAAATACTTAAACGTTTGAAAAAAGAGCTCTGGTCTATTTTAATGTTTTAATGATGTAGCAAATTTGAAGGTAGGCTGTATCAGGAAGTATACAATATAAATTACACAATGGCAACACTGCACAAAATTCTTTTAAATTTCGTTTGTAGAAAACTGTTTTCTTCAAAATTTATCGCCCTCTATTATGTAGTAGCGAAACTACCGCATCAAAATATCTGATTTGGAGACAGGCTTTAAAAGCCTGTCTCCTTTTGATAGTTACAATTTTATGCATGTAACGAGGCTTCTGTTGCGTAGCTAGATATTCTGTGCTATCTACTATACGTATTATAAACGCGTGTTCAAATATTAATTTTGTGTAATACCTATAAATATACAAAATTAATTTTTTGTACCTGTTCTCAGATTTTATACATTTTCTACGCACTTTTCTACATACACCTAGAAAATTAATTTTCTACGCGTAGTTACCCAACCCTGGTTGTACCGTGTGTCCCACTAAGAATAGCTCTCGACTATATCTCGGAAAGTATTAGCCGTAGGGCTTACGGAAAAAAATATTTATAACTAAAGGAGCTATGAAAAATTGCGGAAATTGAAAAAACGCGCAATGTTTGTTAAATTGTAAGACAACGTCCCCTAGCGTCTACGTTCAAAAGCTTATTATTATTGTTTATATGGTATAATATAGAGTAAGAAACGTTCTTTTAAACGAGTCCTCGCTTGTTGGATTCCGATCATCCAGTCCAGAGTTATTAATATTCAAATAAAAACAGATCTAGCCTTCCCCCACCACTTTATTTTGGTAGATAGGGGAAAATGGTTCTAACAAAAAATATTCAAAATTTACTGAAGATTATGAAGCTGTTACTTATAGTACACCTTATCTAGGCAAAATTGTGTAAAAACTCCATTTTCTTATTTTTTGTTGCAGTTGCACCCCCTAGCGGTCGTTCTACAAACTTGAAAATAATTTCCAGCAATTTCCCATTGCCTCTTTAGTTACAAATATTTTTTTTCCGCAGCCGCTACGGCTAATATTGTCCGAGATACAGCCGAGAGCTATTCTTAGTGGGATACCCTGGACATAAAGGCTGATTTACACGCATCCAGCCAGCGGCAGGCTTCAGTTACCCTGATAACACTATTGGCATCGTAGTGGCATAATGTAATATATCCCCTTCTTCATGCCAATGATTGGCAATTGACACATTTCATACTGTCCGAGATACAGCCGAGAGCTATTCTTAGTGGGACACCCTGGACATAAAGGCTGATTTACACGCATCCAGCCAGCGGCAGGCTTCAGTTACCCTGATAACACTATTGGCATCGTAGTGGCATAATGTAATATATCCCCTTCTTCATGCCAATGATTGGCAATTGACACATTTCACACGAAAATGTGTTTACACGGTGCCATTAGCATCCCAGCAGTGCTAGTAAAGTGTTAACAAACAAAAAAAGAGTTTTGGTTTTATGTCAAATCGGCATTGCGCATGCCAGTGTGTCTTAATTCTAACCAACAAATATTATCGTTTCCGTTTTACTTCCTACTAGGTATAAATAATTTATTATATAATGCTTATTCGAAATAGAGATTAGCGAATATTAAATAAACATTCTTACGTATTTCTTCTTTTTTGTGTTTTCCTTTTTCATCGAAATTGTTATAAGCACCTCTAGCTATGGCCTCCCAGGCCATATCTCGTTTAGGTTTTTCCTTGTACGCTTGACAATCCGCATTCCATATTGCCGGATGACTTTTAATCATATCGATGAACCAATCTATCTCCATTTCATTGAGTATTAATAGCGAATCACACACAGTAAAGCAAAAAATAAAATAACAGTCAAAATGCCGGACGCACTCACCGCGTTAGTCCGTTACGTACTGCTTCATCTACGAGCTACGACACGGGATGCGGGTCACGGGACAGCGCCCGCAGCGGCAACCAATATCTCCTTAAAAACTGAGGCCTCAACTCTAGCGTATGACGAAACAATATTTCTTAAAACCAAAGAACATCGTCATAAATTATAGTATCCTTTTTCAGTAAAATTAGTGGATACATATACTGTTAAACGTGTAAGACAATAATGAACGAACCATTATTTGGAATAACAAAGACGAATATACTGATACTGATATACAGGGTCGCTTTTATGAATGGAAACGGTCGATTATTACGTAAAATATAGGAGGTATCGCAAAACATTAAGTAGAAAAGTTATAGGATTTCTAAATATCTATTTGCGAGTAATAAATTTAAGTATACAGGGTCGGTCGTAAAGTCGTGGCACATTAAAGTTTTCATTTTTTTTAAATAGAACTGCCTGTATATTACTAAATATTTCAATTATTTCTTCAAGTCTAAGCAAAAATCGAAATACACACAATGTACCTCAAAGCAACCGTTTCCGAGTTATTGGCTTTTGAAAATATCACTTAAACAATTCGATTTAATTAATTTCGATGTGTTTGGTTTGATTTAATGATGCCATTCTGCCGAAACTGTGATACTGTTGTAATGGGGTTTTAAATTCCTACTAGCTACTAGTAAATTTAAGTATACAGGGTCGGTCCTAAAGTTGTGTCACATCAAACTTTTTTTTTAAATGAAATCCCCTGTATATTATTGCTTATTTCAATTCTTCCTTCAGTTTTAAGCAATAATCGTAATACACAATGTACATAAATTGAAGAATTGAAATGTTAAACGAAAATTTTGTAATTCCCAGACTTGATATACTCTCATTTTATACATCTCTAAATGCTAACTTCAGAACTAATGTCAAATATTATTAAGTATCACAGTTTCGGTAGAATGGCATCGTTAAATTAAACTGAACATATCAAAATTAATTAAATCAAATTGTTTAAGTGATATTTTCAAAAGTCAATAACTCGGAAACAACTAAATGTAGTTTTCTCCACTACTTTAAATGTGACATCCAGTATTTGGTATCGTACTCGAATAAGGTTTAGTTTAATCTTTCTGTTTTAATATGCACATTCTAGACCTAAAATTCATATTAAATTTACATGGAGTCATAAACAAATAATCTGCATTATATTATATTCCTGTCTAAAAAGAGACACTTGTGTTTCCACACGCAACGAAAACACAGAGCGCTATCATTGTAGAAATTTCGACCCAAAAAAAAATGTTAAGAGAAGATTAAAAGAAGCTGAGTGTATATAATTATTAGAAGAAGAAAATCGTAATGTTTCCTCTTGAGAAATATCGGCTCTTTTGTTGCTGTTCATTTGCGCTTTCATCCAAAGAACTAGATATTATAATTATTTTCCAAAAATAATGCAACATTATCAAACCAATTAGTAAATTAAAAGACTTCAACTCAAAAATAAAATTAAATGCTACACATACTTTCCTCAAACAGACTCAAACCCACTGCCCACTAACTGCAGTTGATCCGACAAAACGAATGAATGGGTTTCAAAATTTCCCACAAATTGGAAAATTTCCAACGAGTTGGCATCACTGCCTTTGCTATACGTAAGGTTGTGGCTTCAGTCTTCTAAGAGGTTTTGGTGCCGGACGTCGCCGCGCCGTTGCGGAGAGTGGTGGCCAATCCCGTGCGAGTTTGCGATCGAATGACGCACCGGCGGAAACGTGTTGTCGGTCGGTGGGGTCGGACTCTGAATTCCTAAAGTTTATGTTCCAAGTTCCAAGCCGTACGTCAATATCTCGTCGAACGAGAATCGTGGCATCGTGGCCGTCAACGTGCGTTTGTTGTTTGTATATTGATACCTGTTGCGGCTGGCATACTTACGATTTATTGTTTTGATATTTAATTAAACTCTTTTATCTAAAATAGTTTAATTATTTGATGCGTTGAATTATTTCATACTCGTATAAAGTGAAACCGTTGGCGTTGTTGTTAGTTATGTTTTATGTTTTAGCACACTAGGTCAATAAGTTTATTATACCTATTTGATCATTTTAGAAGTGTGGTCTGGATTTTAACGCGTAAGGCAGTGATGTAGGCAGCTTAATGGAAAATCAAATGTGTTAAAAAGAGATGAAAGTTAGGTTGATACATTTTTTCTATGCGGTAGTGCCGGGTTTTGTATCAAAAGTTCAAACCGCACAAGTAGGCGTTTATGGAAAATGTTGCATCTAGGGTTGGAACCTTATTTTTCACAATTAGTTACTCATTTTACTGCAGATGTAATAGATTATATTTCATCATCATCGTCATCATGTAGCCTTCGTTGTCCACTGCTGAATGTAGGCCTCCTCCATATTTCTCCATGTCTCTCGATTTTGGTCTGTCATCATCCAATTTCCAGCAATCCTCTTTACATCATCGGTCCAGCGTGTCGGTGGTCTGCCTCTGCTACGTTTATCTGCTCGAGGTCGCCATTCTAACAATCTTCTAGTCCACCTGTCTTTAGATGTTCTCGCCACATGACCTGCACATCTCCATTTCATTCGAGTTACGTGTTCCACTATGTCTTTAATTTTGGTTTTTTGTCTGATAGTGTTATTAGGAATTTTGCCTCTTTTAGTTATTCCAAGCATGACTCCCTCCATGGCTCTCTGGGCTACTCTTAAATTTTCTGCTGACTTTTTCGTTAATGTTAGAGTTTCCGCTCCATATGTAATTACCGGCAAGACGCATTGTTCATAAACTTTCCTCTTCAAGCATATGGGTATATCACTTTTAAAGGTCTCCCGCAGTTTGCCAAAAGCAGCCCAACCCAAACCTATTCTGCGCTGTATCTCGTGTGTTTGGTTGTTCTTTCCGATTTTTGTATTTCGTGCCCGAGATATTTGTATATATGTGTTTCTTTTATGTCGGCGTCACCTATTCTGATGTTCTGTGTCAGCACTAAGTTTGTCATTATTTGCGTTTTACTCGTATTTTATTATTTTATTATTCGTAGTTTGGCAATGATTTTGGTAAACAGCTTATACAAGTGACAAAGAAGGCTTATCGGTCTATAGTTTTCAAGCTCGGTGTTATCGCCCTTTTTATGGAGAAGTATCGTTATGGCGTTGTTCCATTGAGACGGGATTATTCCTTTTTCAAGGCATATATTAAATAAGTCTTTAATCCATTTTAATAGTGTTCCTCCTCCGAGTTTTACAGCCTCAATCACTATGCCGTCCTCGCACGGGGCTTTGTTATTTTTCATTTCTTTTAAGGAGTTTCTGATTTCTTCTGTAGTTATTTCCGGTATATCCTCTGATCCCTGGTTAACTATCTTTTTGCACAGACGTTGTTGACTGTTGTATGTTTGTTGGTGATTACTTGTGTATAGTTCAGTATAAAAGTTTTCTGATATTTTCAACAGCCTTTCTCTATTTGCTGTTACGACCCCTTGGTTGTCTTTTAGTTTAAAGATCTCTCTCTTTCCATTTGATAGTTTTCCCCGCAACACCTTCATACTTTTATTCTCTTCTATAGTTCGCCTTATATTATTTGTATTAAATTTTCTTACGTCCTTTCTGATTTCTTTAGATATTGTTTTGTTCAATTGTCTCAGCTCTTCAGAGTTTCTGTTATTTTGTTTTAACATTTCTTTTCAAAAAGATATCATATTCTTTGTATTTTGGGTGAGTTTTTGTTGTTTGTTATTAATTTGTTGGCAGTGTTGTACTTCCGCTTCTTTAATGGATTCAACAATATTGCTAATCTCAATATCGTGTTGGCTGTTTAAGGTCCGTTCTTCCAGGAAAGCTGTAACGGAATCTGCATAGTTGGAGTCACTGTTAGGGGGGTTCCATTTAGTATTTTTGTTTTGTCGAACCATCTTTGACCTTTCTCTTTTCAAGTCTATCCTAACCGTCGCTCTAACCATTCTGTGGTCGCTTCCTATTGTACAACCCTTAGATTATATTTAGGTTAGATATATTATCTTCATTTCAGTAGTATACATGAAAGTTTTTAAATTACTTTATTTTTTTTTACACAAATTTTGCTACAAACGTAAAACCGGCAACACTGTATGCCGCTTTTGATTTTGTCTCTCTTTTATATTATTCTCTGTCTTAAGCCAACGGAACTCTGTTAGCTTGGTCGGAACCGTCGGAACCAACGTTGGACGCATCATTTGGCATATGCTTCGACAATATTGCAATTCACAAGTGTGTCTCCTACACGATATGACACATGTTCATGTGTCCAACGTTGGAAGTTGGAAGTCGTTTGACACATCGTGTGGGACTGGCTTTACACGTTAAAATCCAGATCACACTTCTAAAATGACCAAATCGGTATATTATTATTAATTATATTATACCAAAGACTACACACAATTATACCCTACTGACGAGCGAAACCACAGGCGAAACCTTGGGTCGGCGTTTACATGTATAGGAGTGAATCGCTATGGCAATCTAGTAAGTAGGAGAGGGCAAAAATACGAAGTGTTTATTACATAAACACTTAAACTAATAACCTCTGATTTCATGCTCTAAATTCCATGCGCTTGGGAAAATACTTTCTTTCTTTATTCAGTACATCTCATTGTGCTAAACTTGTTGACAATACTCTTCGTACACACGAAAATCGGCACCCAAGGCTAGAAATGCCAACCCTAGTATAACCTTATTATGTTAGTATATATGTTTATACAGGGTGAGTCTTAAATAAGTGCAAATATTTTAGGGGTAGTATATTTCGACCCCAGAAACAAGATTATGAGATTTTTTCGCGAAAAAAAAATTGAAAATTTGAAATTTAAAAAAAAATTTGGAATTTTTCTGTATGAATTTATAAATGTGAATTTTTAACTTATAAACATACAGAATGAGGATAACTTAAGAAGTGGCAGCATTTCATTCTCTCGAAGCACTATAAACAAGTTTCCGAAAACTGAACAAGCGGCATTCAAAACTTTTTCAATGTTTTCTAACTAACTA